TATAATATTAAATTCAATGTATTTCTTAAAATGTCCATAAATTTATATTAAATGATTTTCGTTAGGCGTAAAATTTATATTAAATTTTGAATTAAAAAAAAACTAAAATAGTTGCTCTTTGAAAGTATAAAAACCAAAAGAATATTTTAAGAGTACAACGATTAAATTGAACCTTTTAAAAATATAATAACAAAATTGAGGGTAAAAATATCGAAACTAAAATAATATTTTAATAAAAAATAATTAATATCTTATCTGAAATAATTTGTATTTTTTTTAGTACGACATGTAGAGATAAAAATTTAAACTCATAATAATTTGATTTAACCACACTTGGTTTTACAACAATTTCGAAAGCTGAGATTAGGTTTGAAAGGCTAATAATTCATTTTACCCGACAGCTCTAAAGTTAATGAACCGACGTGACGTCATGTCGTTCAACAATTTTGAGATTTTCAGACATGTCGAAGGTTCTAAACGTGTCGGTGTTTCCCAGTCAAACTCTGCGTTCCGCCACGTGCCAAATCCGACGGACATCCTTTCTCACACGTGCCACTTGCCGGGCCTTCAAATCATTATTTTTTCCCTCTCATTTTTCTCATATTTATCTTATGATTCTTATCCCAAATAACATTCATCAAATTTAAACCCTATTAAAATCTTGAATTTTAATATTTATTTCGTATTAAACTTTAAAATTGAGTACGGAATGGAATTATTAGTAAAGTTTCTAATTTTTAAAAAGGTTTGTTAAGCAGATTAGTGGTATCATTATTGCTTTTTCTAATCCTATTGGATACATTATTGCTTTTAATTTAATTGATTTTCTAGGTTTAACCATTTTTTAGTTAGTGGCATCTTTATCCCTCTCTTTTGTTAGTCAAATTTTGAATTATTTATGGGATAGTTTGTGGGCAATTTTTTATATTTAATCCTTTAAAAAAGTATTGATTCTGGGAATTCAAATTTCATGTTACATCTTTTTCTGAATTAATCTCTGATATTCAATTTATTAGGTTACGAGATCTCAAATAAGTGTTTTCAGCCACCCTATTAATTAGCAGCTCGACTTCGTTCGCCTTCATTATTTCTCTTTGAATTTCAAATAATAGAAGTGGGTTCTATCAATTTTTGTATGAAATTGATAGTTTAAGGAGAAAAAAATCGATACACTTATGTAAATGTAGTAGAGAAAATAATTNTTTAAGCCAAATCTTACTGATTTGTATTACTGTAAATTGATAATTTAATCCTTGTTTTAGAGAAGATTCTTGATAGGAAATTTACATTATTATATTAGTTATAAATGTTTATGAAAAGGAATGTAGAAAAAAAAAGGTTTTTTTAGAAGGTGGAAAAAAAAGTTTAAATACTTTCAATTTTGAAAAAAGAACTACATTAAAAAAAATGAAGCTCTAACATTATTTTCGTCCTCTACCATTTCTTTTTTCATTTTGCTCCACACACTTTCAAAACACTCATTTTAATTATTTGTATTTTTAATTTTTATTTATTTTAGTTATTATAATTCCAAAATAAATCCATTTATTTTAAAAAAGAGATCAATTTAGTACACTATCTATAAAATTTTAACACGAATATCACAAATTTTCTCTTCTATAATATTATTCATATAGATTAGATTTTATGTGAGATAACTCATTTAGATATGTGATAATAATTTAATATTTGAATTATATTCTAACATTATTTATTTAAATTGATTGTTTCAAATTATTATTCACAAATCAAAATTAACATAGCATTTGGTGTACCAAATTGTTTCTTAAGGAAAGAAAGTGAAATGATTGGAGAGACGACAATAGAGAGAGAATAAATGTAAGTGGAGAGGGAAAGATGTTTAGAGAGAGACAATATTTTACTACAAAAATGAGATTTTCGTTTTTTTTAATAGAAAAATTTACTTAAACTTTCATAATTCACGACAAGAATGAGCTAAATTACCAATATTCAAACTTTTGACTCTATGTTAGGTAGACTTCTGAACTTTAATTGACCGTCGTGCGGACCTCCCGCTGGGGGCCGTTATGCCAAAAGCGAGAGAAATCTCATCCCTCTCTTTCTTTTTCTCACCCACATGTTGCCACACAAGAAATTGTAATAAATCTTTGAATTTTCAATTTTGTATTTAATATGTCTCAAATCTATTCAATAGTGTTAAACAGGTTTATGAACTTTTAATTTTATATCTAATAGACATGGACTAATTATTTGACTTTTTTTTAGTTCACAAACTTATTAAACATAAAACGAAAAATTGTGTCTAATAAAATCATAAAATTTCAATTCAGTATCTAATAGATCAATGATCGTTTGACATAAAATTGAAAATTCAATAACCTAGAGGAACTAATTAGAAACAAAATTGAAAGTTCGGGAACGTACTAGAGACGTTTTGCAGTTCATAGACCTATTAAACACAAACTTGAAAGGTTATAAACTAAACTTGTAATTTGAACTCAATAATTTGAACTTATATTTAATATAATCAATATAAATTTCTTTATATTGAATTATAGATTGATTGATTTACAATCACATAAATGTTAACTTAGGAATTAATAGAAATGTTGAATTGGCCAACATTAGCATAATTTAGTGGTAATTGACATGTAATCTTTCCTTTGAGGTCGGAAGTTCGATCCTCTATATCTCCAATTTGTTGTACTGAAAAGAAAAATAGAAAGGATCATGGATAGTTAATCATCGAACTCACGATCTTCTAATTAATAATAGGTATCTAACCAATTGAACTATACTCACGTTSGACTTGCCGGGCTTTTATTAATTTTTTTTAGGCCAAATATAACTATTTTGTGAATCATCATTTATCTATTTGTCTAAATGTTTAGATTTTTTCTTTTCTTATTGCTTTTGATATCATTGCATGGTTTTATTTTTAAAATGTAATCGATTCTTTCCTAATATACCTTATTTAATGAATCAAAATCACTTTTTTTTTTCTTATATATTTTTTGTTATTTTTCTATGTTTTCTAATTAAAAATTTATTTATGTTGCGTTTTATTTTTCCAACAAATGTATGTGTTATTTTCCATATTGTTATTATTTTAAATTACTATATGTTTTCTTAGTACAACAAATATGAAGTATAAATTTTTTTTAGTTCAATAGTATGTCGGGTAAAGATTCGAACCTTTAACTTTGTAGTAAAAAAATAAATGTCTTCATCAATTGAGCTACGTCATACGGTTGAGTTATATTCTTGTTAACTTTACTATATTATCTTTTTGTTATTGTGTTTTTAGTTGTTACATTACATTTTTTTAATCTGTAGGATAAAACTAAAAAGAATATTAAAGTATATGTAACCAAAAACATTATTTTCGAAGAACCACGAGAACGTCGTGTCTTTGTCTTGAAATTAAAATGAGGCAAAAATATTTCATCTCTATGTGAAAATTTAACACTCCTAACAATTTCACTATTTTAGATATAGAAACACTTGAATTTTAGGTTAAATTACAAGTTTTGTTCTTATACTTTTAGAATCATATATCTTAACTTAAAAAAGTGTCTATTAATAAGTTCTCAAATTTTTAATTTTGTGTCTAACAAATTTTTTACTTATTTGACATTTTATTATAAAATTCAAAAATTTGTTAGATACAAAACCAAAACGTCAACATCCTATTAGGCGTAAAATTCACTTCCATTTACATTTTTAAAAAGTGTTGAATAAGTTAGAGAGGTAAAAAATTAGGTTAGAATAATATTTTGGTCCATGAACTTATAGTTTACTTCATTTTCTAAAAAAAGGAACAAAAGTCGACTATTTTGGTCCATTAATTTTATTTATAATCTTATTTTTTTAATCACAATTTCAGCATGATGCTATACTCAATATTTCTTGAAATGTAACTATTATTTTATATTAAAGAGTTTCATTATGTGTGTAATTTGTGTTAAAATTTTACAAATAGGGATAAAACATTCCATTTTTCAAAGTATAGGAAYCAAAACGAACATTTTAAAATTACGTGGACTAAAATGAACTAAAGTTAAAAGTACATTACCAAAATAATTATTTTGAAAGTATGGGGATCAAAATGAACTAAAGTCTAGCTTAAGTTCGAGTTCTTGAGTGGTCGTAGAGAAGGATGATGGATAACATCAGGCTAAGAGAGGACTATCAAAAGACCTAGCATATTATTTCCTAAATATTAATCCTATAGAGATGGCTAATTATTTGAACAAGAAGGCCGATGTGGTATAAGAAAGCTGAGGAAAATGAGTTGAGACGGCTTCTGCATTGTATTCAATTTTAGTTGTTTAAAAATAGAGAGGGCTAGAGAAGACTATTGATCTTGTTTGATCATAAAAGTGATCAAGTATGTCCGATATGAACTGACGTAGGAATTAATGACCTACAAAACAAGAGTTAGCACTCAGACGCTTAAGTTAGTACACTTAGTTGATCAGTACTCGAGACATAATATTGTTTCACGTACCTTGCGTGGGAGGCGGGAGTTCTCTATTTATAGATACGAGTTCCCAAGAGGGCTTCCGACCACCCAGGATCGTATTGTCATGTTGGAAAACGTGTGTGTCACCTTTGCGCCTGCTAATACTCTTTAAGGGCGTCTCTTACCTGTAAGTCGGCCGGTATGCAAGATGTAGATCGACTCTACTTCTATTGTCAAGTTGCTTAAACTTGTTTCACACGAGTTTTCTTATTTGATTCTCCTTATCATTTCGTCAATCGATGACTTTTGATGTTGATACGTGGCGAATGATAAATCGTCTCCAACCAATTTTTAGAGTACGAAAATCAAAATAGTATTTTAACTTGAAATTGAAAGGTAAGCAGGTAAAAAGTTTTAAACTCCTTTTTTAACTTTCAAGAACTTTTTAAAACCACTCGAAAAAATCATAAACTAAACCTGTAATTCATGGTTCTCTCCTTCTCTCTGTGAATCAAACCAAAGGGATTGTTTTTTAGCCCTTTTGGAGGATCACAGATCTTGTCGTTATCCGGGCATCCGGATTTCCTTCAATTTCAGCTTTCTCTCTCTCTCTCGTTTTGTGCTTCAATTTTGCATTCAAAGTCAAATCACGAGCCGCTGTACAGTGACAATAACTCAACTCTTTTGCAGCTTTAAATTGCAGATGGGAAAGGTAGTCAGTTCCATACGCGGAGAACGATCGCCATCGCCACTGCTCAATCTCCGCCGCTCCCTTCCATTTTCATTTCCCGTCGAGATAAGCCAATCTCTGACACAACCCCTTTTTCCGGTTTCTTCTAATTTAATTTCCTCCCTAAACTATTTAACAAATTCCCCAATTTTAAATTCTTGGGCTGCTGCATTTGCCCCTTCCCACATGTGGAGGAGTATATTCTTCCCCCACCAAGCAGAAGCATCCGCTCGTTTTTCTGGATCCGCGGGCGAGATTTTAGGGATGGGTCTGTGAAGAATCGGACATGGTTTTCTTTACTTCTTTGTCTTCTGCTGAGTACTGCGTCCGTACCCTTTGAAATTCGGATGGGTCTTTTTTGGGAAAGGTTCGTTTGTTTCATAGAGAAGAAGTAAGTTGGAAACTGCACTGTAAGTGTTTGATAAAAGTCCTGAGTGAAGAGATATGGGTTCTGGTAATGGGTTTTACTCGACTTGCGAATTCAATTTGGATGCCAAATGGCTGATCGATCCCAAGCATCTTTTTGTTGGCCCGAAGATTGGGGAAGGTGCTCATGCCAAGGTGTATGAGGGAAAGTACGTTTATCTGAAATCAATTGGCTTTTCTGTTTTTCTGTTTTTCTTTGTCTGTCCTAAATCTGATATAAATGACCCCTGTCTCTTTCTCTCTTTAAACTCTTTCTTTATCTCTCTTATCTCTCTCTCTTCTGTCAGGTACAAAAACCAGATTGTGGCTATCAAAATGGTGGGTAGAGGAGATACCCCTGAGAGGATGGCCAAGAGAGAAGCTCGGTTTGCCAGAGAGGTAGCAATGTTGTCCAGAGTGCAACACAAGAACTTAGTGAAGGTAATGATCAATTTTACTTCTATAACTTTTTTCTTTTTCGTCTGAATTTCATACTTAGTACTCAAATTTGTCGTTGTCATACTTTTCATAATGTTTCTCAGGCTTTAACAGAGCTGTTTTATTGATACCTCTTTTTCACCAGTTTATTGGCGCTTGCAAGGAACCTATGATGGTTATAGTGACTGAATTACTCACAGGTGGCACATTGCGCAAATACCTCTTGAATTTGAGGCCAAGTAGCCTGGAACTTCACGTGGCGATCGGGTTTGCGCTCGATATTGCTCGTGCAATGGAGTGTTTACACTCCCATGGAATAATTCACCGTGACCTTAAACCAGGTACACACATTTGCACTGTTCTTTGGAGACTTATATCAGGTTTTTGTAGTTTTGTCATCCACTTTGCCTTCTTTGATTGAGCTGTTGCCTTGTAAGAGAGTTGCTGATTTTGGGTTCTGAGATTGTAGTTAGAATTGGTTTTTGCAGTTTGAAATGAGGTCTTCTTGAGCTCTATCTTAGAGTTGCCAGCCATAGATCAATTGGGTTTCTTGAAAAAAAAAAATTTAAGATATATAAAGTGGGAGCTTAAGACATAACTTACGTGTGGATTCAATATAATCATGTGAATGTTGTAATCCAATACTTGGATTCGAACTACAAAAGGTTCAAAATCGCTTCGAGTTGAATTTTAGAAATTCCTTGTCTCACTGTATATTTACTATGACTGGTTTCAAGGTATGTAGTTGAGATGAGGAAACTCATTGGGTCATCCACAACACTAAATGCAGATTCCAACTGCGTACCCGTAAATATTTACGACACGTTGAGTAGATAGCGTTCGAGTGAAGTAAATCTTTAAAATTTCTGGCCTGTAAGTTTTTTTCTTTTTCTTTTGGTAGAGAACTTGATATTGACTGCAGACCATAAAACTGTTAAGCTTGCTGACTTTGGTTTGGCAAGAGAAGAGTCAGTAACAGAGATGATGACTGCAGAAACAGGAACATATAGGTGGATGGCTCCAGAGGTGCTTTTTCTGTTCTCTCTCTCTCTCTCTCTCTATGGCTGAATATTGGGAGATATTGTTCTTATGCATTTCCCTTGGGCTAAATTACAAAATATATCCGGAACTTTTCTCTTTATTTCAAAAATACCCCTGTCCTTTTAAAAATTTCAATACTACCTTGATCTTTTACAACTTTTCAAAACATACCTCTTGAACAAACATCCATTAATATTTGAACGAAAAGTTGACAGTGACAAAATGTAGAACCATGTTACGTGGCAATTATTGTCCTAATTTTGTCCGAATTTGCTTCTCGATTTTGCTTTTAAAAACGATAGTTTCTCCCATATTTTCTTTTTTCAAACTTAATTCAAACTTCCACATTGATTATCACATTGTTTCAGATTCTGTCACGTTCAACTTCCCGTTCAAAATATTAACGGATGTTTGGTTAACGGGTATTTTTGAAATCTTGATCAAATGTCAAGGTAGTATTGAAACTTCTGAAAGTATAGGGGTATTTTGAAAGTTGATGAGTATTTTCTGTAATTTAGCCTTTCCCCTATGGCTCTTAACAATTATATTTCATGTTTTTTGTTTTGTATGGTGGCAGCTCTATAGCACAGTAACTCTAAAACATGGAGATAAAAAGCATTATAATCATAAGGTTGATGCCTACAGCTTCGCCATTGTATTGTGGGAACTCATCCTTAATAGGTTGCCTTTCGAAGGCATGTCGAATTTACAGGCAGCCTACGCAGCTGCTTTTAAGGTAAGCAAGAATCATAATTAATTTCTTTTTTGTTTCATTAGAACTCATTTGGTAACGTACTCGTTTCTTGTTTCTCATTTTTTTATTTTTGAGAAACATAAGTTTTTATAGTTAGTTTTATTTCTTATTCTTCACCTTTTAAGAAACTTTTCTAAAATTGTGTAGAAATTTTGGAAATAACAAAATTAAATTTCTTGTTTTGTTCTTTTCAAAACATAAATGAAGGTATTATTTTATCATTCTTTTTAACTTATAAAATGCATAATAAATATTAAAAAATAAACCTAGGATAAATTTTTTTTAATTCTTAATTTAAAAAATTGTTTTCTATATAAAGAAAAGAAACCATTACCAAATGCAATTTTGTTTCTATTTATTAGAAAATAGTATAAAAAAACAATAAATGGAACTTTACCAAGCAGACCCGTACAAATTCAGTCTCAAAATTTGGACGGTTCTCTCGATTTAGTCTCTAAACTTTTTAAAAGATCTCATTTTCAGCCGATTCATAAAATTTAAAAATCGGTTTAGAATGTATTTTGCCTAATGCCTTTTCAAATTTTTTGTGAAGCTTTCCTTATTTTATTTAGTTGGTCTATTCTCTTTGCTACTCATTGCCACCTTATATAATATTGACTTCATTATTCCAAGACTTCCAAGACATAAATATAAATAGCGTTTTATCATTCTTGAATCAGAATCGATGAGTGTTGGAGTCATGCAATTCTATTTCTTTATTAAAAGAGATGAAACAGAAGCGAGAAATGGAAACGTTATCAAACGAGCACTAAATAAACAACCCCATATATTATTATAGCCTTTGCAAATATCCTGTTTTGAATCTTAGCTTTGGTTTGGTGTTTCAGAACATGAGGCCAAGTGCTGAAAATCTTCCAGAGGATTTAGCTTTAATAGTGACATCATGCTGGAGAGAAGATCCAAATACAAGGCCAAACTTCAGCCAGATCATACAGATGCTCCTACAGTCTCTCTCCCGAATATCGCCACGAGCACCCGTTATCCCAACTCGGATATGTGCTTCAGAAAACGTTGTGATGCCACCAGAATCGCCTGGTACAAACTCCTTGATGGCTGTCAGGCATGGCTCGGAGGAACCCTCGCACAGCATGATCGAAGAAACCCCGAGAAGCTCCTTCTTCTGCTTTAACAAGTGTTACTGATCCAATAATATTTGTAGTTGTATGAGAATACCCAATAAGCCAAACCATGAAGTGTAACAGAATTTGAGATTGTTCTCAACTTAGAAGTTTGAGAATCTCAGGTTTGTTCAACAGATATGTAGGATCATGAGAGAAGATGGCACTCATCTGTACAACTGGCATGAAATGTTCATGATTTCTGTTGGGAATTAGATGGTGGAAAAAAATTAGCGATCATAATGGTTGTAAACAAAGGGCTAAATTACCAAAAATACCCTTGTTTGATGAATGTTTCAAAAATACTCTTTCAACGGATATCTAACGTGACAACTAACGTCTTAATTTTCTTCAAAACATCCTCCTCGTCACGTTTCAAATTCTATCATGTCAACTTTGGCTCAAAATATTAACGACTGTTTGCTCAAATAATATTTTTGAGACGTTTATAAAGAATCAAAGATAATGTTGAAATTTTTGAAAGGATAAAGATAATTTTTAAATGGTAAAGTTAAAAGGGTATTTTTTATAATTTGTAATTTATGCTCAACAAATCTTTGATGTTTTTCCTGTTCTACTAACTAATATGAAAAAGGCAAATCTACAATGCCACCCTTCTGACCAAATGTTATCTTGGGGCAAAAGCAAGTCTATACATTGAAATCCTATATTTCCTACTGGAAGCAACATCAAGAATCAGAAAAAAAGAAGAAAATATTCATCAACATGTCTATATTTTCACACTTCCATAAAATGAACATTTCTAACAATATCAACATTTAAATTCTTACAACAATCTACAAAGAAGAGCATGATGTCTGATGAGGGAGAGGCACAAACTGTGGTCTCCACAAGAAGGCTACAATTTGGTGATTTGATAGTATTCAGACTAGTTTTACATAGTAAGATCTTACAAATGGATGCTCCCAAGCTGCTGTTCCTCTTCATCGCCTTCTCGCACCGTTACTCGTCACACAGTGAGGCCATGAGCTCGCGGGGTGATGCCCAAATGGGAAGGTCGATTAGACACTGTTTCAATCTGTCCTCTTGTGTCTGGCACAGAGCTTCGGCTATATCACAAAGCTTTGAAACATGATGAATGATTGATTCCTGAGCTTCCACCTGCACAGTTCACACTGAAGATATTAGGATGGATAACCTAATTCAGAAATTCATCTGTTTTCACGACGGAGTATGTGTGAGTTTCACTCCTTGTATTATGCTCGAAACTTGCCCCCCCCCCACTAATTCCCATGGCTGCCAACCCAAAGGCTTTTGCTTCAAATTACAAAATTTTTAAAACCAGGCTTGAACTTAAACCTTAAAGTTATCTTCAAAATCTAAGGCCTTTGCCACCAGATTTTGAAAGGTATCTTCAAACATCTAGGCCCTTGCCATCCGAGGATACACCCCTTAGGGTAACATGAATGAGAAATTAGAACAATAGTTAGTGTTTCCTCTCATGAACCAAGCCAGGGTAACAAATTTGTCTTAAACTAGCCCAGTAGTTGGGGCGAACCTGGCGATGAAATGATAAGAATTCCAAAATTTTATGTTCTCGGAATCAAATGTTTGGCTTCATATGGTGTTGATTTGTTCTGGTCGATTTTCCAAATCTAAACCTAATACCACTAAAAGAGAAACACTGTTTTATTCGCGCAATTTGTCGAGCGAGCAGATGCATAATTAGTTCGACGCAATTTCACTCCAATTTGCAAATAAGGGCAAAAAGGAACTAGAAACGTGTTCTCTCCTAACATGAAATTATACCAACGAATGATGAATTATGAGCAAATTGAAGAAATTCCTTAACAACACGACGCTTGAAGCCGTAAATCTCAGTTCCGTGCGTAATTTCCGATCTTAAATTGCGATACGAGACCGAAGGCGACTTACCTGAGAGAGAAGATCTTCCACCATTGACGCGCGTGATAGCTCCCTCTGCTGAACAACGGACAACGAGGAAGCCTCCGCAAGCGGCACCGTTCCTTCTTCCCCTTCCCGCCGGTACTGTTCCTGCAGCCTCCGATTCCGCTCCTCCATCGCCCGCAAGTTTCTCGACAAAACCTCCCACTGCTCAATCTCTCTCTGATACTTCGCCCTAACCTTCAACAACGTCTTCCTCCTGCGCTCTCGCCGCCGATTCTCCTCCGCCTCAATGTCCGCCGCTTGGGCCACCGACGAGCGAGCTGCGACGGCTTCCGCCGGGTCGAGCCGGCGCCTCTTCCGCTTGTAGACGAATCCGTCGTCGTTGCAGAGCTCCCAGTCCTCTTCTTCTCCGGCGACCGTCGCTACGGCGGCCGCTGCGTTCGAATCCATGAACCACAACGAGCGGGAAATAGAGAGAAAAGAGAAGAAGGGGCGCTGTCAATCAGATTCAGAGCTCAGTTTCTTCCGTCGAAATTTCGAAATCTGATAAAATTTGTGGGAGCGTGAGAGCGCGCGCACCAGAGAAAAAAAGCGTTTATTTGGGCTCCAAATTTTTACTAGAAAAAAGCCCAATTTCTAAATATGGGCTCCAAATTTTTCGGCCCAAAACTTATCTACTCCTCCCTCCCTCTCTCTTAACCAAAAATAAATAAATAAATAAAAATAAAAATAAATCAATTTTTATCTGTTTACTTGAGTTGGTAAGTCCATTTTGTAACTTTAAATGTTCAATTTCATCTATTTAAATTTTAGACTTATAATTCGTGCAACTAGTATCTTCAATTAATTCTCCTTTTTCCTTTTCAGATTTGTAGCCAGCTACTAGTGTTCTTATAGTTGAATAAGACTATTTTTTTTTTTAGTATTGATATGGTATTTTATTGTTCAGTTTGAGTATTTGTTATAGGATTAGTTTTGTGACTAAGTTCTGAGTATTTTGTGATTGGATGATTTTGTCTCTGTATAACACGATGTTGAGTATTTTGTTGATTAAATTTTGTGTGATTTGTTGGTTATCTAACAATCTCATAATATAATTTTTATATTTTGAAGATGTATTAATTGCTACATTTATTTAAAATTTAAAACTTTATTGAATCAAATTGTATGTTTGAAGTCAAAATAAACTCTCTTAAGAAAATAAGGGGTAAAAACTAAAATTAAAATATCAATAATACACCGTTAATGTAAATATTTACAGATGTGTTCAAAATATATATACACACACAGATATAACCTTTCTAGTACAGTAGTACTCTCGCTCTTTAAAATTGAGAGAATATGAGGTGGGCCTCAAATTTATTCCGCTCAAAACTCACATACTCCTTTTTTTTTAAAAAAAAAAAAAGGAAAAAAAGATAACAATAGAAATAGCTGTTTAAAATGAGTCCATTCAAAAAATGACCAAAAAATGGCCAAAGTAAAAATAGAAAAATCTCTGCTAATTTTATCGGTACAAAATTGCCSTTCCGTGATTTTTAAATGAATATATTATTTGTCCTTTTTATAGGAGAATGATACCTATATTTTTTTTCTAATGAATCATTCAAATATTTTGAGAATCTTACTTGTATTAAACCTTAAAAAAATACTAATTAAATTAAAATAAATTTAAACAAGAAAATCATTTTAGAAATGAAAATACAAATCCTGAAGATGGAAACAAATACAGTAACAAGCATAATGAACAAATACAGTAAATGAACAAATACAGTAAATGAACAAATACGGTGAACAAATGAATAAATATGGTGAACAAATGAACAAATACAGTAACAAGTATGATAAACAAATACGGTGAACAAATGAACAAATATGATGAATTAATGAACAAATATACAAATGAACAAATACGATAAATAGAAGAACAAATGTCTATGAAAAATAAGGTGAACACATAATGTTTATTTTTGTGACACAATTAATACAAAAAAAAAAAATTACCCCAATAGAAACTCATACGGTTGACATCTCTTTTCTTTACCCTCTGTCATTCCTCACCCCACTTACAGTGTTGTCAACCACCTTGTTGTTCCACCGTTGTATCCCTCTGCGCCCCATCTACAGCCTATYTCATCTCCACAGTTGTCTCCCTTGTTTAATTTCATACCTTCCTTGCTCAATTTCCGTCCATTCTTGTTGTCTCTCTCGCGATGCTCATTGATCATTGTTAAGGTTAATCATGAGTAAATGTGTATAAGTTCTCTGTTAGTAGTTATAACAAATAATTGGTTTAGTTTTCTGTTATTGTTCACTTGAGCCTATATAATCAAAGGCTTTGTATCTGTTGAAGAATGAATGAAATGTATCGAATTCAGTCATGATAATTCCTTCTTCTCTATTTTTTATGGTATCAGAGCATGTGTCTAACGACATTCAGACATTTCAAGATGAGTGATTCAATGGAAGGAAACTCTGAAATATCAGCAAATCAAAGCACACAGTTCATAAACCCTGGAAGCAAAATTAATACAGTAAAGTTAGGCGATGATAATTTCCTATGTGGAAATTTCAGATTCTTGCAGCCCTTGATGGAAATGGATTAGAATCCTATATTGATCCAGATTCAGAAATTTTGTCGAAGTTTATTACAGTCACAGAAGGTGCGTCATCATCTCAGATGATTAATCCATCATATGCACAATGGAAAAGGCAGGATCGATTGATAGTCTGATGGTTACTGGGCTCAATGAAAGAAGAAATTCTTTCAGATTTGCTACACTATCAGAATGCAAAGGAGATTTGGAGTAGTCTTGAACAAATCTTCTCTGCTCAGAATCTTGCCAAGCTAATGCAATTAAAGACAAAATTGCAAAATCTGAAGAAATGAGGTTTAAGCCTCAAAGACTACATGCGACAAATCAAGATTTTAATGGAATCGTTGAAAGCTGCCGGAAAAATTATTCCTCCCGAAGACCACATCATGCATGTTCTTTCAGGTTTGGGCTCTGAGTATGAATCCACTATCTCTGTAATCACTGCAAGAAAAGAAATATCAATTCAAGAAGTAACTTCTTTGTTATTATCTTGTGAAAGTCGAATTGAGAAAGACTATATTTCAACCTTTAAGAATATATCTCTCCCATCTGCAAATTTGGTTCATCAACCAAATTCTTCTCAATCTGCGAATGATCACTCAAGATTTCAGCAGAATCAATCCTATGATAATAATAGAGGCCGTGGTAGATATAATCGTGGTGGCGGTCATCAATGGAATCAACGAAATAGAATTCAATGCCAAATTTGCTACAAATTTGGGCATACTGCAGATAGGTGTTACTTCAGAATACCAAATAACTCAGGGAATACCTCTGGTCGAGTTCCTTTCTCTCAGTAACAACCAAATTAGTATCACCAGCCGTCTCAAACGTCTGCCATGTTAATGACACCAAATCTGAATAGGGATACAAATTGGTATCAGACTCTGGAGCTACTAATCACATAAGTCATGATCTTGGTAACCTATCAGTAAGTAGTGAAATGGTAGGAGGACAACAAGTTCATACAACAAGTGGAGTAGGTATGTCCATCACCCGTTCTGGCCATTTATCTTGTATTACTTCATCAAATCATATATTTCATCTCAAAGTCTATTACATGTTCCAACTATTACTAAGAACTTATTGAGTGTCAATCAGTTTGCCAAGGACAATAATGTATTTTTTGAATTCCATCTATCTTTTTGTCTTGTTAAGGACCAAATCAGTGGCACTACTCTACTCCAAGGGACTCTTCTTGATGGATTATATGCTTTTCAGTTGAATACTGTGTCTCCCAATTCTAAAGGCTTCACATCTCATAAATCTTGTAATTCAATTACTCTTCCCCACCCAAATTCGTTATCTCCATCTACTTGTAATTCTTTTGAAATGTGGCATAAAAGACTAGGTCATCCCTCCCCCACTGTTATAATCAAGTTCTCAAATCTTGTACTCCAAATGTACCTATAAATAAAAAGCTACCTTTTTGTAATAACTGTGCTCTTGGTAAACATCATTCCCTTCCCTTTTTACCTTTTGCTACAATTTTTACTGCACCACTTCAACTAATAGTTTCTGATCTATGGGGCCCTGCACATAAAATGTCTAGAAATGGCTACARATATTATATTAGCTTCATTGATGTTTATTCTCGTTTCACTTGGGTCGACTTCTTAGAATCCAAGTCTCAAGCCTTCTCAGCATTTCTCAAATTCAAAATCTATATTGAAAAACTTCTTGGCACACTAATTCTTAGATTTCAATCTGATAATGGAAGTGAATTCAAAGCCTTTTCATCTTATCTTCAAAACAATGGTATCGAATATCGTTTTTCCTGTCCCTATACTTCCCAACAAAATGGAATCGCCGAAAGAAAACATCGTCATATTGTGGATATTGGTCTCACTCTCCTATCTCATTCCTCAATGCCTTTAGAATATTGGGATGATGCATATCCGACTGCAGTCTATCTTATTAACAGACTACCATTTATAAATCTTAAATGGAAAAATCCCTTGGAGTTACTTTTTCATCAACCACCTAACTACAACTTCTTAAAATCATTTGGTTGTCTTTGTTACCCATGCCTTAGACCTTACAATGACCATAAACTCCAACTCCGTTCCACTCCATGTACATTCTTGGGATATAGTAACTTTCACAAAGGATATAAATGTTTGTCATTTGATGGGAGATTATACATTTCAAGACATGTCTTCTTCAATGAAACTATTTTCCCCTTTGCCACAAAATCCTACCCAACAAATAACTCTGCTACTTCGTCTATCTCTACTTACCTACCTATAGCCTCTGTCTCTAATACTTTTAATCCCACTTCCACTGATACATCTCCTTCTTCCTTAACAAGACAGTGCACTAGTTCTATGAATCATTCTTCTACTCCACCTATTGACACCATACAAAACAATACTACACCTACTGTCCATGCCGACATCAGCTGAAACTTTACCTTATGACTCTTTTAATCCACCTATTGATACCACTGCACCTCCTCCATTACCTGCTAATGCTCCTGCTGTTACCTCTCTGCCTTCACCTACTGTTACTGCTCCATCTATGAATATACATCCGATGGTAACTCGAGTTAAGAATGGAATTTTTCTACCAAAGGTTCTTCTTACAGATTATAAAGACGTTGAACCCTCTACTGCTAAAGAGGCTCTTAAACACCCCCATTGGAGAAAGGCAATGGAAGAGGAATATACAACTCTAATGAGAAATCAAACATGGGAACTAGTTGATCCATCACCAAATCAAAAGATAGTCGGCTGCAAGTGGGTCTTCAAAATAAAACGTAACACTGATGGATCTATCTCTCGCTATAAAKCAAGGTTAGTGGTAAAAGGTTTTCACCAAACAGCTGAAGTAGATTACTTCGAAACCTTCAGCCCCGTTGTCAAACCTATAACTATCAGAGTTCTCCTTAATTTGGCTGTTGCTCATGGTTGGGAACTAAGACAAGTAGACATAAATAATGCT